GAAAGAGTTCGTTTTCAAAATAAAAAGATGTGTATAAGAGACAGGTTGTATATAGCCTATAAACATTTTACTAACTCACGAGCAAAATAATTTAAGAAATTGATGATAAGAAAAAGTCCATTAGTCCCGGCTGTGATAGTGATGTGCGATAGTAAATGGCATTAATATATGAGTCAGTACATAAACATCTGTCTCTTATACACATCTAGATGTGTATAACTATCCAAACCTGGAAGGTATACATAAACATCGCATAACTAACATCATGTCATCAATAGGCCTATGTTGCATGATCTATGAATAATTATCATAATATCAACTAATCTATGTACTTACTACCTCATTCTATACTCAATTACTACATGCATGTTAGAATATACTATGGTAAAATATTATCGTGATATATACTGTATGTAAAAATAATCATAAAAATAACGCACATAGCTTCATGTGACTATTTATTTACTACTGCTTCCAAATCTGAATTTAAAATTTTGATACATTTTTTTAAAATGAGCATTGTGCACTGTCTTATATATAAATGCATGTTTGTTTTTCCCGCGTTATATCGTGTTTGTAGCTGGCATGATCTATCCCTACATGCACTTTAGCACCATGTCACTTCCTGACCGTGTTGTTCATATGGGCAAAGATCTTCTTTTGGATTTTTACCAGCAAGCTTACGGTAAGGCTCATTTTTTAAAAATCTCTGACTTATTTCGCCCATTCTATCTCATTCATGTGTACTAACATGTTGAATTATTAATACATATATAACAAGGAGTTGGACGGTTAGTCATCAGAAATTTATTATTCCTTTATACCTTGCTTTTTATGTCATGCGATTTGGTTAATTTTAAAAAATGCTTGAAATATTAACGATATATTTATTTACTATATTAGGCCTATTATATCTATCATTATTATACTTTTAGTATTATTGCATTATTATAACTACCTCTATTATTATTATTATTATTATTATTATTATTATTATTATTATTATTATTATTATTATTATTTATTGCCAACTATAATCAATGCGTTAACCTATAACGTAAGTCATCTTTTTCTTCAATTCAATTCAATTTTATTAGTAAAACTCATAAAATTGTTTGAAATTTGCTTTACTTGTCACAGATAACAATAAAAATATAAAAAGGGTAAAATATACACATTCAAAATAGGAGGTTAAAATTGAACAGATACACAAGAACTATTATTATATTTATATTATTGACTATTGACTTTATTTTATTCAAATCACCCAAAAGTAGCCGACAAGCTAATTAAACTTTTCAAAAATAATATGCTCATTGGCGGTCCATAACAAATGTCAGTTTTGGACTAAGGACAGGGAGATGAGGCGATAATTGGTTTTCGGGACTATTCTGATATTACATAGATTTACATTTTCAAATTTCAAATTTCAAATTTCAAAAACATATAGAAATCGTCAATCACCAATGGATTTACATGTCACTTTTGACAGCATTTGTCAAAGAATAAGCAGGTGACATTGGTGACAAATTTGATTGGTGACACATTAGTGGGATTGGTGCAAGTTAGTGGGTTTGGTGACACGTTATTGGGAATGGTGACAAGTTAAAATAATTGGTGACTTAGTAAGCTTGGTGACAAGTTAGCAGGCTTGTGGTGAAAATTAGATCTATCTAATCTGGACTTGAGTCTTGAGTGTTGAATATTTATGTTGAAACGGTTTCTACTGATAAATTATGCTTAATAATTGCTTTTAACGAATTCGGACTTGCTAACGAAAAAACATGTACTACCCCATACAAAAGGAAAACCTCTAATACCAAGACTATAGGAGTGATTAAATGTCCGTTAATTAGAAATTTGAGTTAAAGATAATTGAAATAGGCCTATTCCAATTATGCTGTTCACTTTTGTAATTTAGTTTCAGGTTAATAATATTAGAATCAGGTTGTATATAGCCTATAAACATTTTACTAACTCACGAGCAAAATAATTTAAGAAATTGATGATAAGAAAAAGTCCATTAGTCCCGGCTGTGATAGTGATGTGCGATAGTAAATGGCATTAATATATGAGTCAGTACATAAACATATATACATTTACACCAGTCAATGACCGCTGAAGTATAAAATGCTATCCCACACTGATGAGTACCTGCCGCTGCTAATGCGTTGTGCTATTTCCGTTGTTGAAGAATTGTAGTGCAGGGAAAATAGGTGGGTTTTAGTGCATATGAATGTTACAATATATCTTCAAAATATATATTTGTACGCCGTACTTTAAAACGATTTGGTACATAGATATCTAAGTGGAACTTTATAACTTTATTTTTTACGTGTATTTACGTCGATATAGTGAAAACAGGAACCACAATCTAAGATTCACAGTGATATAGTAAAAACTATTAACAACAATTCTATAATGTGTATATTTGTGATGTTGCCAATCTACTCCTTAGATAATCTGATCATATAATTATGTTCACATTTAGTAGATGTGCCAGTCGAACAATTATCAAGCAGTTTTAGGTCGAGTACAGGATAAAATTTAATGGAAATGCTGCAGATTCGTTGACTAAGTAGAGACTTAGGTAATTTTATACGTCTGTTCGTTCCTTCAATGACGTCATCTCAAGACACTGAGATACAAAATGATGTTCGTAGTTAAATCAAAAGCTGTCTGGATATTATATGTTGTCGTAGTCTCAAAAACATCATAGAAATTTTAAAATATTCACCGAAAATTCTACCATTTGTTTTTACACGATCACCATTTGCTTTTACTAGTGTGATTTAAAGACGCCAAAGGGTAGTCGAGAGGATCGAGTCCTATTTCCTGCTCATTAAAAATAGAGGGTGTTGAAATAGACTGAAAGTTGGGATAGATTTAAACATCCATTGCATGCTGCGGTCCAGCGGTGTTCATAAACAGTGAACAACGGCGATCGCAATATGAAATGCTGTCCAATATTAATGAAATTTCGCATGCGATAGATAGGCGTACTCGATAAATTCATAATTCACGCCCTAATAACTTAGGCACTAAATTGAATAACTATCAAATGAATCCAAGCCTGCTGCTCAGAAGTGTACATTACTGATTGTTACCTTGTAATAATGTTCAAATTTGAAGCGTAGGCCTATACAATTCAAAGTGACGCAAATATGTATATTTTTTTTTTTCAAAATCAAGACTTCACGCATGCGTTGACGCATTTTTGACTGTTGATTGATTGTTGATATAAAATCAAGCTACTGTCGTTAGTATCCATTTAGTAACCAATGGCAACGAATGGACTTTACTTCGACACGCCAAACAACGGGGTAAAAATATAAACTAATAAATTATTCTCTTAAAAAGTTACTCGTAACAATTGATTATTCAGTTAGCAAAATGTTGCCTATAAGAAAAGGCTTGTTCATTTCATGAATTTTTCTTATAATTCAATAAACCCCTCCCACACAATATTCCCTTTATGTTCTTCGCTGGTCAAGAGTGATATTTCCATGAACAATACTATTGCTTATATAGGTACATAATCTATATACGCACATTGATTTGTGTAATTATGAATCCTATGTTAATATTGTGTTTTACAAAATTGACATTCAAATTATCGCTCAATACTGAAACACTTCAGTTTACCCTTGAACAGTGCTCAGTGTAATGTTAGCAAGGGTGTCTAGTTTGTAATTTTTCCCTTGCGATGAAGTAGACTCGCCTAATTGATGGATACAGCGAAAAACACGCAGAGAGCAAGAGAACATTAAATCGCTAGACAAATCCGAGCTGCTACTATCAGTCCTCTTTAACGTGTTGTAATGATAACCAATCACGTTATTCTCTATACGGCGTATCATTACAATAGTATTGTATACAATTTTCTAGATTTTAAGTTTTATTTTGAAAGCGTTATTTAAGATCATCTGCTTTCTCGGCTAGCTGATTATTATTATAGCAGTCAGGAGATTAAGATGGAAGCAAGCGAATGGACACGTCGTGCAGACGATAGCGACGTGGAAGAATACAGAAGTGGACATACTACTATTTTCCCACCACGAAAGAGTTCGTTTTCAAGTCAGAAATCTGAACAAGTGAGTTTGTTATAAAGATGTACATGTTCTGTTATTATTAAAAAAATAATTACCGTAAATGCTCGAATAAGCAATAATTTTTTTTAGCTAAGCGCCGCGGCGCTTAATCGAGAGTGTATATTACCTTGTGTGTAATAAAAACACTTTGAGAAAAAGGTTTTAAATACAATGTATGCAGTGTTAAAATGAATAAATAACACAATGAAGACACAAGCATTTCTCTATAAGCGTTTATTTACGATGACGTAGGACCTATGATAGGCCTACTGAGCTACGGGAATACGTGAGCTATGTAAAGGCCTGTTTATACTTCAACGATAACGATAAAAAAGCTAAAATGCAATTGTTCATATAGAAAATAAAAGAAATAAGAGAAGTTTTTACACTAGAACGATTCGATAAAGATTTATCAGTTATCAGTTATTGACGAATCAAATCAGATGACGTCATAATCATGGAAAAACATTAAAATCGTATTAGTAGCAACGATTTTATCTTTTTTCCATTATGATTATGACGTCATCTGATTTGATTTGTTAAAATATTTTGTTATCGTATACACGATAAATCTTTATCGAATCGTCCTAGTCTAAAAACTTCTTATTTCTTTTGTTTTCTATGTGAACAATCGCTTTTTAGCTTTTTTTTTTTTTTATCGTTATCGTTACCGTTGAAGTATAAACAGGCCTTAATATGGGAACGGGCATTTTTTATAAGCGCCGCTCTCGAATAAGCGCCGCACTGAAGCCTGCAAACATTTTTATAAGCGCCGCCGCGCTTATTCGAGCATTTACATCACTAAATTATATATTTATTTTACTTTTGTGTTTTATAAATTTCAAGAAGCACTTATTTTAATTGTGTTTTATTTTAACTGTAAGCCTATTTATTTCTTAATACGGTATTATTCTTATCGTATAAATTAAAATTAGGCTACTACCGAAGTGTCCTTTGCTCGAACGTATAGATCTAACAGTGACTCTGTTGGCTGAATAACAGTAATAATTTCGTTACCGGTTTAATTGCATTCCTGATGCTGTGAATGTTAAACAATTTTTACTAAAGGAAGGAAATATCTGACAATAAACAATTTAAACCTACAACGATATGTAGAAGCTTAGAGTCACTAGAAACCAAAAATACATTTTCTTATATTCTTTTATTCTGTTTTATAAAGATAACATTTAATCGCTGTAGTCCAGATTTTAGTCATATTAATAATAATGATTTCGTTTTTTTAACATTAGCGTAATCGTTTCCATGGAAACTGTTCACAGGCAGCAATGACTACATAGTTTGTTAAAAATTGAATCACTAATTTAGTTCGAGCATTTATTTATGTTTGTAATGATGGGTAATTGTATTACGACCTAATAACACATTTAGCAGTTGTTTTTATTTAATTATTTCCATATTATTATTCCATAATAATTTTTTGTTTTGTTTATGCCTATATCAATATAACACTATATTTTCTTCATTATATTTATTATATATAGTATTACAACAGTACTATTATTATTGTACGATATTTATTTTATTATTATTATTATATTATTATTATTATTACTATTATTATTATTACTATTATTATTATTATATTATTATTACTATTATTATTATAATATTATTATTATTATATTATTATTATTATTATTATTATTTTATTATTATTATATTGTGTTGAGCTGATAAACTTGAAAATATTTGAATTGCTTATTTTTATATTATAGATTTTATGCTTTATAATTTTATGTTCACTATCAGTAGTAATTATGACTATTACCTTGAGTAGTGTAATTATATATGCTGTATATGATGTGATCGCGCTACTAATATCGTCGTCACGTGTTTATTATACAGACGCGCGAGTATTCGTTTCCCACAAAGAAATTTTGTTTGAGTAAAGATCCGTCAGACCGGTCATCTAGAGGTAACGGCCTGGGCATGCGCATCGTCGGAGGAAAATGTATTCCTGGCACACGTCAAGTTGGAGCATACATTGCAGAAATATATCCAGGCGGTGTGGCTGAAAAAGTATCTGGTACGTGTGTAATGCTAATCAGGGGAAGATTCAATTTGTGGAAGGGTGGGGGCGGGGTAGCCAGGTGGCTCACCAAAATGTATTTATTGAAAATAGGCCTATAGTAAAATTTAAAAAAAAATAAAAAAATAAAAGTCTGAAAGCGCCATGTCAGGCCATCTAGAGTTACAATTTCGGATCTTAGCCTCGCTATGAAGTTGCTTTTAACCCTTTGTCTGTAAAGTTTCCTCCCTGGTCCTTCTCTATTTCAAATTTCTGGATCCACCGGCGTGATTAATCGGCCGATAACTCCCGCCCCTAGGATATGTTTGCTGAGGTGTGAGACCTTACAAAAGTGTAAGCTTGCGTGTTTGTGAGACATGCGCGTGGTTCTGGCAATTGATCAACACATTCTGATTGGCCATTGTTAAGTATGATAGAAACTCGTTACAGGTCCATTATTATGCACACATCGATTTGCAGTGCGCATTTCTTTACGATTGCAAAGCGCAAGCAAAATAAAGACACTCACTAATGATGTGGCTATTGGTACCTTTGATTAACCGTCTCTTGTATGAGTTCATCTGCAAGTCATTAAATGAACATTTTCAGCCGCTATGAAAATGTTTTGAGAAGTCTATTTAGGAACGCAGAACAATTCCAATCTTGATTAAAACATTAGTATTTTCATATTTCTTTAATTGGCGTCACGAGTATAGTCAAAGTGATTCAAACTTCATTTTTATCTTTACAATTCATTTTCCAACCTTTCAATTGAAACCGAACATGTTATTATGGAAAAATACATGAATTCTTATTTTCAAAGGCTATTTTTCATAATGAATAATAATCGCTAACGTGTATTTTACTAACTATAGATTACCACGTGGACATGCCAGTCTGTCATTAAAAAACCCATCAAATACACCACACAATAATAATGTAGCTATTAATAGAAAACACACCATCACATGTGGATTAAAACGCCTCAAAACACCATCAATATCAATGTACCTGTATAAGTGTCAATATATTCCGCAAAACACATCCGAAACAAATATCGCTCAGGTGATTCTAGATCACGTTTAAGTTTAAAAACATTGATTCTTACTTTCAATCAAATATAATGCAAATATGAAATAGACTATCATTTGTTATTCATTATAATTGCGGATTTTACCTGTCACAACTATAGGCCCATGGTTTTCCTCCTAAATATAGGCCTAAACGAAATAAACAAACAACATCAGCGTTCAAATGCAGTTGGCTACTGTATGTTTAATCAACTCTAATAATGGAATTTAAAAATAATGCTATTAGTAAAAGTATGAGAATGGTTTTCACTAAGCATCTTTAAACACTGTCTTTACATTACAATGAATATATGACACATAATGAACTGTGGCTTTATTTCTCTCAGAACTTCATTTAGGTGACGAGATACTAGAATGGTGTGGCATTCCATTGGAAGGCAAAACATATGAAGAGACCCAAAAAATAATCAGCAGTTCCGACGGCGAAGTCGAAATTGTAATAAGAAGGTATTGTTAAATTCAAACATGTTTATTTTTCATATTGCCAACATTAAACATTTTATTGGTTGCATAAAGAATGCATCATCACACGATTACATTATTAAACTCAATATAGTTTTCGAAAGCTTCTTTCAAAAGATGGAGCGATATTAGTCGAAATAGTATTTGGTACATGTATGTCAATCTTAATGTATAATCTAGAATCAATATACAGGCATTTAGGATTTTCTGTCTGTCTTCTTTAAAAATTCTTTTGACCTTTTAGTGAATTCGTCCAAAGCATTTTATTGATTGGGAATTGAAACCTTTATATTTCAGTGGACTGTGCATGATGACTTCACCACGAAAAACAATTTCCACAAAGCAGATATTACAGGATAATCAGCAGTTCGATTCCATAATATACGGTAAGATTATGTGCTACAGGATTACTTTTGCATACACACAATTTAGTAACATACTATAATATTGTGTTCAAAAAATTATTTTTGTGAGGGTATGGGCGGCAATGTGTCAAAGTATACCATACGGTAATTTGATCTGTGCGCCCAAACTAGCGCCACTAATCTTATAATTGCCTGATTTTTATGCAACTTTGAGGCTGCATCTGCACAGACTGCGATATCCATTTAAACTGCCTACTAGGTGTCTAGGTGTATTTAAATGCATTAATTGCGCAAATGTCTTCATGTCTCCGAGCTAAAATTTCTTGGAATAAAAATAACATACAGCAGCCTTCGATAACAAAATCTCATGTGAATCAGCCATTAAAACATACGCGTCTGTGTCCATTAGGAGAAGATTTAGAACATTACAATGTTCGGTAAATTAATGTTAAGGTTAACGGTGTCCATAAACAAACGACCATTGGAGTAGACAAAATACGTAATGATGTTCATGATCATAATGAGGATAATAATAATGATAATGACGATAATAATAATAATAATAATAATAATGATGATGATTATAACGATGACGATCATGATGATGATGATAATAATAATAATAATGATAATAATAATAATAATAATAATAATAATAATAATAATAATAATAATATAATAATAATAGCCTAAAGTTAATATGTCATCACCTTAAATAAACGGCAAATTATCTTCTAAATAAGAAAACAATTGTGAGGCAGCCAATAATTTTGTTCACGTTTACAAACAGTGATACGCGTTAAGATTAATCCTTTAATTTGATAATTTGTCTCCGCGAAATCCAGTAATATCTTAGATTTTTTTTTCATTTATTACACATTTATTAAATTAATGGGAAAGAAAAAAGATACATTACCAAGAAACCATCAATTTGGATCAAGCTTAGAAGCTGAGCTTGTCTCAGCTTGACCCGGACGAGACACAGATCATATTTACGAAATAAATAAATCAATAAACAAACAAACAAAGAATAGATATATACCTTATGCTAGATCTTTTCGATTGATTTATCATTATTTGCTTGCCTAATGTAGGCCTAATTGACGGCTTAGTATAAATCTAACAGGCATTGTAATGAACAATCTTTTATCCCTTCTTCGAGACGTGTTTTACAGTCGTAAAATGATTTACGAATCTACACTAAGTTTCATTCGTGCGTACATTTACACCATTAAGTAATCTATATCGGTATTTTGTAAATAAGCATGTGTATAAGTATGGTCGAATTCATCAACCAATTACTTCTTCTAACACAGATTCTGATGGCAAATGTACTAATGGTGTTGACCCGCGTACCTTAACTAAACGCTTGGAAGGCATCCAATCACATTCTCCATCACAATCTAGCGAATCATTTTCAACGAGTCAATCAACATCAAGCGACACTTCAACGCCAAAGGTAAATTAAGAGCTAAAAATATTATAGTAAAATAAAGATAATATTGTCACTGATAACATTTAATTTAGGATAAATGTTAGAGGCTGTTGCATTAGTTCTAATTCGAATGGTGATTATGTTTCATTAAATTATTATTCTTACCTTAGCGCAAACGAAAAGAACGAATGAAGTCGATAAAGGGGGAAATTGAGGTAACTATACATATTATTTATAAAACCAATTTTTTCTGATGTGAGGTGCTATATAGCCTCTAATGGGATATTCTGTCATTTTCTGAAAGCTTGCTATGATTATCAATCTACAGGAAAAGCGCATTTACAATTTCAATCTCAATCTATGTTGCGACAATTTTAGTGTTTTATTTAAGTGTTAAGTTGTTTATTTGGCTTTTCTTTTCTTAACAATTTTATATACCGTATGATGATGAGATGGGGTGATAGTGCTGGTGATGATGTTGATTATAATGATTATGATAATGAAAATAATGATGTAAATGATGATGAGAATGACGGTGGTAGTTGTGGTGGTTTGATTGTGATTATGATGACAGTGGTCGTAGTGATGATGTTGGTAACAGTGAAAGTGATTATAGTGATGATGATGATGATGGAAAATGTGATGATAATAACAATAAAGGTAGTTGTGTTGGTTGTTGGCTAGATGGTGACGATGATGATAGTGAAAAGATTTGAACGTAGAACCCTGAAATTAGCCCTAAAATGCAAACGTCTAAACAACTGAGCGACAATGTATGATATTGATATAAGATATATCCATGGAGGAACCTCCATGATATAACATTGTATATTGTCGTATTTATTTACTTAGCTTCAACTTGACTACGATGACAATGTTGGGGATCTGTTCATCAACGTGATGAAGGCACGTGACTTAGCACCAAAGGACCGCAATGGCCTTGCCGATCCGTTTGTGAAAATATGCCTTCTGCCGGGAAGATGGTTAGCATATACATTTATTCGAAGTATACATACATATCTCGCTCCCATTGTGCATATGAATGAGCCAAAAGTGAGGAGGACAGTCGTTCGACGATTTTGATTAGAGCAATCCTAAAATTAATCATACTGCAATTGTTCGATAGCTTGCTAGAACAATAATAGCAATTTGGGGTACATCATAGATGGTGTTATTAAAAGAATCGGGTGAACCACAGTCAAGCACCTGGTTAAACTTGCTATGTTGTATTGCGATTTATTATAATATAAAGATCACCATTACCAACAGAGAACAACGTGAATACAATTTTGTTCATGATTTACTGTTTGAATTTTGCAGTGCTGAAAATAAACGGCGAACTATGTACGTGCCACGAACACTAAACCCGAACTGGAACCAGACTTTCGTTTTCCGAGGAATCCGGCGTAAAGAACTCTGCACAAAGACTTTGGAAATTCTTGTCTGGGATTATGATAGGTTTTCAACAAATGATTTCATGGGTCAGGTGGGAATTTTTTTTCTTTATTTTAAATATTATTTTTAATATAAAATATGTTAGCAATACGAGTACCGTACGTTCGTTATACCAACTGAGGAATAAGGCCAACTTAGTATATTTCTGGATTTTTAATAAAGACACGGTTTTTATTAAGGTATATTTAAGGCCCTAGTATTATGAAGATGTGCTCAGTCTGGTGAAAATATGTGGTTCTAAACTAAATCTCATTGTTAAACTGAAGCAGAATCACGCGCAGCACTCAATCCTATTTATTATTTTACAAAATAGATAAATCAATGTGTTTAATTTTTGAAGACCTCTTTTTTTAACAGGTATTGATTGAGCTTTCTAGAATGGATACTTTAGACAATAACCCTCGATGGTACAAACTACAGCATCAAGGAGAGGTTGCCCCAGCGGAGGCTCACACACCGCAGCTAGTCTCACCAATCAAACCAGGTGGATGTTTTCTCCAGCCACCGACACAAATGATCCGGCCTAAGACCCGCAGTGAACAGAGCACTTCGGATCCAGCCTTCTGGAAAAGGGTATCAGACGGAACGTCATATCCGGTGTCGAGTCAGGCCGATGCTGACTCTGCTGGATCATCTGCATATGAATATGATACTGACAGATCTACATCTGACATTTCAGCAGTTGACAGAGGTAATCTTAACGTGCATTTTGCTTTATAAATATATACTATTATTATTTATATTGATGTTACACCCTGTCTGCGTTTTTAGTTATTTTCATTCGAATGCTAAATATCTTTACTCTGCTCATCTACGCTTTTCTACTATAGGTCACGTGGATATTATATATTGATTATATAAATTTTATTAAAAAAATTTTGAATTTTAACAAAGCATGTCTTTAACTGAGTGTCTGAAATTGTTTCAATTGTTTTTTTTTTTTTAAAGTTTTCTAAATGACCATCGGGCCATCCCATCCCCTTTAATGAGCATTCTGTTAATCATATTTAAAGATAATACTTTTAAAAATTTAGCTTTGATTTATTTAGTTTAAAATTGAAAAAAAAATATCGAACGATATATGAATTGTATGTATGTCACCTGATAGGTCAAGTCATAATGACTTTTACTTTCAGTTTTTATCTCAATTAAATCATCAATAGGGATTTATATCAATTCCTCATTTAGATATGATGTATTATCTAATCATAAAGATTGCAAAGTTAAAGGTAAATTGTAGCTATTTACATTATTTGAACGATGCGAGTGACATGACATGGGTAATAGAGTATAAATTGTTCAATTGTTTGTGACTTTTGTTTAAAATCAAGTAAGCTTATTTGATTTTGAGGTCAGACAATGTGTGTAACATACTTAGTTATATATTGAAATATAACTCTGTTGTATCAGTATGAACCGAGTCGAAACGCTACCTCACCTCAGTCAGGTCACACTGTAATTTACGATTCAAAATGTCTGGGATTAAGTAATGGTAAGCCGTGTCATAAATATGTGTTGTAAAGCCATTCTATTGTTTTCATTTATATGAAGACATTTCCAGAAATTATCTGACGGTGTACTAACATTGATATATGACTTTCGTTGAGTATGTTGAAACATTTGTCCACTGCAGTAACTATCCTTTTCATGTCACCCCTCTTCCATCTCCAGACTAGCAAAGCTGCAGGCCAGTTCATCAGGTATGAAATAATTAGAGAATTTCAATCTTGATATTTTACCCCTTTGTGTATTTCATTAATGTTGTATTACATGTGGCACTGCGTTGCACTTCACCCATCTTTAATGTGGCTTCGCATTCCTATGATTTGTTTGTCATTAGTAACAATGCTTTTTTATTGCACTCTTTACAAAATTCTATATTTCTTAATCTAATTAACATCGCTTATTAGCACATTTTATAGAAATTAAGAGTCCATGATAATTAAACAATTTTCTACTCATTTAATTGATTAAATATATAATACGATTACAGAAATATGGAAAAAACTCCAATCATGTTGGCATTAAGTTAAATTTTAAATAGCCTGCACAGATCGTTTGATACACGTTTTCGATTTGTTCTTTTAGATCACCCTCAAACCTCGGATTCAGGGGTACAACTAATATGTAAAATGTCTCCCGAAGAGAGTCAAGATATATCCACGTCACTCACAAGAATAGATGACGCAATCCGAGCTCTTAAACTCACTGATCAACCGATTCCAATTAAGAGAGATAAATCTGTGTTACGTACAAGAGCTTTATCAAAATCACCAAAGAGACGCCAGAGACGCCCGCTTTCAGCCAACTTTGATTTACGAACATCTAGATTGCAAAAAGCAAATGAAATTTGCGATCCAAAATTCAACTATGGACCAATGAGAAGGTCGCTGTCAACGTCGCCACCAGATAATGAGCGAAAATTTTTCCTGCAAGAAAGACCAACACATTTTAACCATCCAGCCTATTCTTCAAGTGAGATAAACTCGCCTTTTCTTGCTTGCCAAAGCCAATCTTCACGATCATCGTCCACACACACCCTGGACTCACCCTCCCTCAGTAGTTCCAACAATCAATTGAAAGATAAAACCCCGTCACCAGATGTTGTCAAGTCAACGAATATTCGACATAGATCTAAAGGTAAAGGTTTTTATAAAACATATAGGCCTAATAGCTTCGCGAAGTTTTGATTACCATTCTTTAAAAATTGAAATATTTCTATTCCATTTTTTATTTCACTTGCACTTCCACATAATATGAACGTAAATAACATCAAGAAAGCTAGAGAATAAGTATTACACTCATTAAAACAAGTATGTCTTTAAGATGATGGGTGAAATATATTGTACAAATAATCACAACATTGTCATAAATTACCGTATATATTTATTATAGTATACATATACAAATATAGAATACATTGAAACCATGTATATATAAGATATATACATGGTTTCAATGTATTCTATATTTGTATATGTATACATTGAAACCATGTATATATAAGATATGCACCTACCATACATCATTGATCATTAAGAAATATATATACATATATTTATATATATAGGCCTATATTAATATTAAGAAATTATTTATATGCCATTTTTCTACATTTCGCTTGTAGGATCTAATCGAAACACAAATTCACACGTTAAAGATCAACGTGATCGCAGAAACACCAATATATCACAATCCACATCGCCCAGTACACATAAACCACTTAACCTGGAATCAAGTTCCTTGTCAGAGACTGCAAAATTAAACGAAGACGGTTCAAGATTATCCAATCACATTTCGGTAAGCTATTCATGTTACTGTGAGGGCGCTCTGTTGAATTTATATCATATTTGGCCTTTTCATAATAATGATTACAAATTTTGAGATGAACTAGACCAATCAGAACAGGAGGGAGCAGCTTAGATCAGTCGGCTAATCTGGTGGTAGCCATGTGTGTGCGCTGAACCTTGGAGATCTCTAGATCCCCGGTTCAATTCTCATCGCATGCCTCACCTTGTGTTTCAGTTGAAGGGCTGAAATACAAGTTACAATAGCGAACCGTCTTTCTGATGAGACGTTTAAGCCGTTGGTCCCGTGTGCATTTTATGGCCCATGTGCACGTTAAAGAACGCAGTACACTCTTCGGAAAAGAGTAGGGATTAGTAGGTGTATTATAGTGTATACGTACATTTTTACCATTTTGTTTTGTGGGACCTTAACAACAGTACTCAAAGAGCAGGGTTAGGCAGAGGTCCATTATGAATCCTGAGATACACTAGAGTATAATTTGCACTTTGCAAAAGCCTACCAATCAATCCCATTGAGCTTTCCACAGTCAATCATACGCGTGTGTCTTAAATACAAACACACATGTTGTCCCACAAAGCACGTATTTCACCAAATGGTAACTTTCTGTACTCTTTGGTTTTACGTACGTTTACGCTATTGTTTTGTGGGATTTTAGTAAAAATATCTGAGGGATGGGCTTATCGGAAAGGTCTATTGTTCATCTTATTTATATGCTGACATTTTATTGTCTTTTTTTTTTATAGCAGAAATCTACCATAAAAGCTGATGTTGTAATACATAACGATCAGGCTCATCGTCGATCTAACTCAACATCTGAAAAGTCATACACTGAATCCAAAACAAATCAAACAAAGCACAGCAGTCGAAAACCACACCGAAAATCATCACGTGATGAGGATCCTCTCAACTATACAAGTCGAGATCCAAAGCGAAGACCATGTATGCTTTTAATGTTTGATATAGAAACAAAAGCAATAAAAGCTTTTACCAAATATATTTTATAGACTATTCAAAATGTTCTGGGCATTATGCTGGTAACACTATGTAATGATGATGAGGATGAAAGTGATGATTAAGATAATGATGATAATTATCAGTGGTGGATCCAGGAATTCGAAATAGGGGGGGGGGCAGAGGGACTTTTTGGGTGGAGAGTCTAGACCACCTCAGCCCCATCATGGTTGGGGCTGAGGTAAGAAAATGTATGATTATATAGGCTTCTATATAGCCTGAAATGGCAATCTCATACCTAAATTTAATTAAAATTTCCTTTTTTCTCCATTATTTTGAAACATTTAGGGGGCGGGGGGGGGGACCGTCTGGCTCCCCTTGAATCCGCCACTGATTATATAGCTGCCTCAAGGTTGCGGCCTTGTACGAAGTTCAAGATATATTTTCTGACATTGTTATGTACCCACATTAAATGGTCCTACACTGTGCAGTTTATTTTATAATATACAAAAATGAATGTAGCAAACGACAAGCAGTACACACGGTGATCACGAATGCGAGAACTAATGTGAAAATATCGTATTTTGTATCTTAGGAAGAAGTGATTGAACTATTACTACTACTAGCTGGGACTAAGTGGTGACAGCCCTAGGGAGTAAATATATTTGCAGTTAACCTTTAGCTTGCCCCCCCCCCATCCCCCTACCTAGGCTAGGCCTACTTCTGTGCAGAGCAAAAGAATGCAACATTTTATTTAGCTTCAGAATTTGACATCATACAATACAGTATTTCTGCTAATCAGAACATACATAAAACGTCCCTGGTATATTTTAGTAATCTGTTGTCAGAACATTATTTCATAATGGTTAAAGAAAAAAAAGTTTGCAAAAACATCTACATTGAAAAGATGCAGAGAATTAATTACATAAAATTCAAAACAAATATATTTGACTTGTAATTAGATAAACAAATATGTTTTATATGAGTCTTAAAAGTTGTTATTTTTTTACAATTACTGGTGGTTATATCCAAATTATTCCATTAAGTAGGTCCAGAATAGCTAATAAAAAATTAATTTTTTTCTAAGTCGTACAAAAGAACATGTAATTTATGAGTATGTAAGCAATCGATCGGGTTAAAGAAAGCATTTAAATAGATACTGGTAACACCTTATTTACATATTGAAACATGAATAAAGAAACTTTAATTATATTTGAAAATCACAAATTTTAAGATTTTTTAGTTTCTTAAAGAGAGGTTTGGTGTGTGCTCGGTCGTGGTAGGCTCAGCTTTACTAGTACAATTGTGTGTTGATAAATAACAAGCTTTCGTTGACTACTAGTAATAATAATTTAGACTTACGTTATAAATTGTATGAAATAAATGACAGCAGCACTTTTGAGACTAACAATATAGGATTTGAGAATAAATTCTATATTGTTAGTCTCAAAAGCGCTGCTGTCATTTATTGCATATTGTTCTATAACAGACTAACGCTGCTACACTTTTTATTCATCGTTATTAATTGTGAGTGCAAGTAAGTAGGAATCCATGTGATTGAAAGTTATAGCGGGGCTTTTCCCTCGATGACGTTCATACTGCTACTACTACTCTTACTTAAACATTGAATAAAGAATATTTACCGTTTCGGTGTCACTGCGTCAGAAATTCAGACATGACAACGTCAATCAGACAACATTTAGACAAATCATAAACTGGTGGACAACCATGCAGAGAGTACTATGACCAAAACAGTACCAGAGCCATAGTTGCTCTGAAAAGTACCAGCGCCAGTACTAACTTGCGCTAAACAATTATGATTATGAATTTATATTGTATCGTATGTTCTATTTAAGATAAGATAGACGTTATTTAAGGGAAGTAAAATAATCTTCAGTTATACCTACTATTTGGGTACAATTTCTTCATGCAGTCATTCTCCAAAATGACTGTTTCGAAAATTAGCCTAATAATAAAAAGACAATTCTTTATGACAGGCCGATATTTTTTCATTTTGTTTTAGCCTATGATGGAGGGGAAAGCAGTAAGTCGAGTTACACGCATTGCGATAGCAGAACTGAATCACCTGTGTTTAAACTTCAAGAAAATGTCCACATCAGCAACCAAGTGCTACATGGGAATATTATGGTTGACGATTCTTACAATGATAGGGGAAGATCGGCCTCATGGTATGATGATGAATAGGCATAAAGATATCAATTATTTTTACCCATTTATTCCCAGAATTTTCGGCTTAGCAGACGATGTAAACGAGTTATTACACGTAAACTTGCCCCATGAATGATTTTAGTTAAACGATTCCTTAGACTGACTTCCGTATAATGCGCTATCAAGTCCCACTACAGTACATACATTAACTAACGTTCACTGGAAAAAAAACATAGGCCTAAATGTAAAACACACAGATGCCACATATCCACAATTTGCCTATAATAATCTTAAATTTTGAGGAGCTAGTTTGACTGGAACATTAAACTGTGAAATTAATCTCAAATCAAACTGTTTATTTCTTATGGAAAAATGGAAGAAAATCTATGAAATTATTTTTTTTTCAGTCGGTTAAGTACAAACCCTGCCCCAATGCATGAGCGAGTTCGCCAGGACAGTGGGTTCTTTCCAAAATCTGGTAAGTGTTTTAAAAGCTTTGTTTTTCATTTATACATGTTGAAAATTTAAAAAAATCTGAAATTTCGATTCTGTCATTGGCATGAAACAAGTTGACAGTAACTTAATATCAAACACAGTATGAAACGCGTATTGATGCTTGTTATATTTGTACCGATATTCTATTAAAATATAGCAATGTATATTTTCTTTTAAATTGTTTTAACCACAAAAATTGTTTTAACCACAACATCTTTTAATCTTCATGTTTACCTTGAATAAATCTATAAATAAATAAATAAATGTCTTTCAGAAAGAGTAAGAAAACGCAAGAAAACTAAAGGACAAACAGGAGGACAAAGTGCCGAAAGCGAAGCAGCTGCACGTAGACTCTCTGATAGGGCCGACTCAAACAGGTATTTGATATGATTTGACATATGAATAATGAGTCTTTGTTATGTTGTAAAACATGTGGCACGAAAAAATATTATGTTTAACGCCATAGGATGTGATGGGAAAACTAAAGGGCTGTAGGACCTGATTAATTACCAGTACTGCCAACTATTGAAAAATAAATAAGACGTTATCATGTTTACCGTCTTCTATAACGTAGCAGGCTATCGTATATGGGTGGTAGCTCATATCCGCAATCTCAGTTTAATGGTGGCGTTCTCATTTTAATTCATATAGCTTCTTTTATTTTCCTTTTGAATGAATTAGTCTTTTTAAACATTTAAATCAACGTGTTGAAATACTTTCCACGGTAGCGGAACATCGTAAAATCACTGGACACAACATTAATTGGGATAAAATCAAAGTACTAACTAAAGAGACTAATTCATTCAAAAGGAAAATAAAAGAAGCTATAGAAATTAAAATGAGAACGCCACCATTAAACCGAGATTGCGGATATGAGCAACCACCCATATACAATAGCCTGCTACGTCATCACACGAACATCAATGCTGACGTGTCAGTTAACCGCCAGATTCAAACGGCTGACGAAGATGACGAGATGTCATCGAAATTCAGTGGTGTTTCTGTCTCTTATACACATCTAGATGTGTATAAGAGACAGTGCTATATAGAGTTAAAATGAAAAACGCATTGAGTTAGTGGAATATAAAAATAACATCATTTGTTCAGGTCTACTATTATGTTATATTATCAGCTGTTTGGCTTTGTAATAACAACCGTTACACTTCTGTTCTCAATACAATGAAATTATTTCCTAACGAATTATTTCTTTGCATTAAGAACATAATTTTAACCTTTGTTTTATTATGATTATTGTTTATATTACTATTTATTACTTGTGTTGCAATAGCCACATTCGTGTTGAATATTAATCTTTAAAAATTAAATTAGGCCTAGGCATATTGAATATTTCTTTCTTGATATTATACTGTACACGTATAATTGTTTACAAATCCTAGTAATCATATTATAAATGTAAGTTTTTTTTACAAGCCCCTTTCTCGATCCTTAACTCTTATTATAGCCAACTATGGAATAAGCAACCAGGGGAGGCTCCCTGTACCGAGCGTCAGTCCGCGACTGTGAACATGAAAACAGCAGTCTATACACGAATGCTTATTGGGGATAATCTTGGCCCAGGCCAGGTAGTTGACCCGGAACTTCCTCGTAAGTGTAGTGTCAGTACAGTGTGTATTATATACTCCACGTTTGTGTTTTCAAAACTGTCTCCGTATATAGGAAATGCATTTATTAATATTATATGTTTTCTAACTCACCCGATGTACATATTTTCTTTCTGCACACTTTGTATCTATCGTCGCTATGTGGGTTTAAATAATCAAAATAAATTAACAGACGGAAACCACTACGATAAAAAAAATCTCCAATTATTGTCAAACAGTTAGGCCTATAAGAATAATTATAGATTATCATCCTGTAACGACACACTATCAATTGTTTTTTGAGAATGTGATTTGTCTATGAGATGTAATATCCTCTATGGAAAGGCGCCGATGAGGAATATTTACGTTCCTTGAACCATTTTTAGAAAACATCAACAAATAAAATCAAGGTAATGGTATTAAAGCTATTGGGAAATAATTACCACTTTGTCGATAAGTTCAATTATTTCTACTTTAAACAATAACATTTATGCTACCTCGGGTAAAAATAGCTAGACAAGGCCATGAGAACAAAATTAGGCCTATTGAAAAAGATGTTTCTGAGATCCGGACAAAAATGGGACTTTCCGGCGTGTCAATCAAACTTAACAACTGACCAATTAGATCGCTAAGAAGGCGCTTGTCCCACATACGTACGCGCGTGTGTCCTATAAACTCACGTGTTTGCATATTCAGTGGTGTTTATACTGTCGTTCTTGGAACCTTAACAACAACACAACGGCTATGTTCACATACGGTAGCTAATGGTTAGCAGGATTCAGGTCACAAACATACGAGCTCACCCATGCGTCCATACAAGAAAATCCCCGATCCCGATACCAAGAAAATGATGATCGAATCACTAGCCAGGAAACTGGAAATTGGAAACGCATACGTGTGATTGGTTGATGCTAACCGATAGCGCTCGCTAACCATTATTGTATCTGGATCCTGGTAACGGTTAGCGCTAACCGATCAGGCGTTCACACACACACGGGCTCTAACGCTTAGCTCCCAATCCGGATTCTAGGGCTCCCGTGTGAACCTGACCTTAATGGGTGTGGCTTAGCGGAAAGGTCTATTGCACTGCGTAGGTTAATATTGGTTAGTAAATGCCTTTTAGTGTGAAACGGTTATTTTTGTCAAAGAATATTGCTTTAGGCCTACTGAAAATAAAATTTTATAATTTAGAGAGATTATACAAACGAAGAACACAACCTAAAAGAAAAAAAATATTTTGTTTTCAAACTGATAACTATTATATTAATTCACTTTTTAATGTTATAAACCTAATACGAGAATTCAGGAATTTAGTAAGAACTTCACTTAATTCTTACTTTGTCATATTACTGGATAAAATGTGGAAAGAAAAAAAAAATAATTGAACCCTCCCACCACCAAATGGTAAGTAGAGTTTATAGAGTGGACTACATAATGCTTATGGACACATTTTTGTTTGAATCGATTTGGTTGAAATGCTTATTCGGGTTCAACAAGGAATTTAACGGTTGCCCGTCATTCATTTTTTGATTTTAAAGGACAGTCAGATGTACTGTGGAAAGGTAACGTTTTGTATGTAACATCGTCATGCTTGTTAACGAAATAGTCTTTATAGAAAAGTAACTGTTCAGTTGCTTTGCATGAAAGACGAAACGATGTGATTATCTTGAAATTCTGACGTGCGTGTGACGTAATCATCTTTCATGTGGAGCATGCGCAGACATTGGCAAAAGTTGTAAAACTGACATGAAACACCACCGTAATCATGCATGACATAACTCGATGTAACATATCAACATTGTAACATAACCTTACGCAGTTATTATGGTCTTCATAATTCATAATCAATTAGGTAATTTTATTCCGAAGTTATCGACTTCATTATAGTTGATCAAAACGTCATCCAAATCATTTCTTCTCATTTCTAATATGTTGTTTCATCTCTGATTTCATTCTTAGTAATTCATTCAAATTCATTCTTATTGTACGGTCAAAGAATATAACAAACTTATAAATATAGTCCACTGACATCATTTAAATTAAAATATATCTCTTAGTTCTCTTAAATACAATATTCCAAAATGATTGGGTGTTTTTGCTTGATATTTCTCTAATAATACTCCTATAAGTCAATTTTGAATTCTTAAAATATTTTTGAATTATTTATTCATATAGCAAAATATAGGCCTAATGTGATAAATTTAGTAATACAGTACATATAATGAATAGACGAATATACTACACATAAGCTTTAATTGCTAACTTAAGATGCTTTCTTTAAAAAAATATTATCATATTATGAAAATATTTAGCAAGACTGCCACATCTGAACAGTTAATTATTTATTATTTGAAATGACGAAGTCGTGTAGGCCTACCAAATAATAATGAGTACCGCAAATAATGAAAAGTCATAATAGTAATAATTATGTATAGGAGTGATGTTTTGCCCTACCTGAAGTCTTATCGTACTGAATAGGCCTACTTAGTACGTTCCCAAATACTGTACTAGCGAAAAAAATCGCAAGTGATTCGGGTGGGAATCGAACTCACGGTTTCCAAAAAACTAGCTAGGCGCCATAACCACTAGACTAACGAGCTTGCGAATCACTTGTGAATTTTTTCGGTAATATTTGGGAACGTACTGAGTATTGGGTGCGATAATATGTCAGGTAGGGCAAAACATCAATCCTATGATATTTTCCTGACGCAAACTCACATCGTAATAATACTTTTTATTATAGGCCTACAGCTAACAATACTTATACTAACTACTGATTAAATTCAGATAATAATAACTATTGTTAATTATTTATTATTTATATTATTATTGCAGTATTATTGTTTTATTCGTAATTTATTTAAAGAAGACCATCATGCGAATACTATTCGAATGTTTAAAAAGTTCCTTAAGATAACCTAAAATTGAGCATAAAGTTGATATCTTATTGTGATATATTTGTTCGCTTAGCTACAAGAGACTCAACGGGTGAAATAAAACTTGGTCTAAGAAAGGATAAAAGGTCAGATGGAGAGTCATTCTATGTGGATATCATCATGTGCAGAAAAATAAGTTTTAAGTTTAAAGATACTGATCATATTCCAGGTAAGTATATTAAAATTGAAGTCTTCTATTTGATATATCTGGATTTGGATTTATTCGGTGTAAACACCAAGGATAGCCCACGAAAGTCTAGAAGACCTATTTCCAGTGGGGTTCTTCTGGTGGCGATTGGGCAGTGCACCGGGAGACAATCCCCTACTCTTTTCCGAAAAGTGTACTGTGTTCGTTTACGTGCACATGGGCCATAATGCACACGGGACCAAAGGTTTAAACGTCTTATCCGAAAGACGGTGCGCTATTTTAACTTTTATTTCAGCCCTCTAGCTGAAACACAAGGAGAGGCAGCGATGGGAATTGAACCGGGGATCTAGAGATCTCCACGGTTTAGTGCACACACAGCGGCTACCACCAGATTAGCCGATTGATTATACATAAATTCTTTCCGCTAAGATAGATCTATTTGAAAGGTTCTTTTGAAATTTTAGATTATACTTTTAATTGTACTATGCCTGCATCAGCGGTCATCAGTTGAACGGTCATTAGTCAAATTTAGTGAGTCGCTTTATCAATGTAATTGAACACAATACAAAAACCTACCTTTTGACGAAAAAGTGATCAGAACAATACACAGAGACAGGACTTGGCAGCACAGAGAGTTCTGTATGACTTGAATTAGTTGTAGGACAATCGAAATGTACTTTTATAAGCACTGTTCTTTGGTTAACTAACTGTTTATTATCATGTAAATTTAAGTACGAATGTATATGCAAAATAACCTAGATTTAGTTGAGTTTACATTTCAGGGGCAACATGTCGGCATGAAATTGTGTGCATGGTGATGTGACACGAACATTTTTAGTTGGTTTGCAGGAAAATAGACATTAATTCATCAAGATATTAAAACAAAGTAATAAAAAGAGAAAAAATGTTCAACAAGATAAAATCTTCAGAAAATCAAACGACGATTGTCATACAATAAGGAGCTCGATGTTTGGATTTTTTTTTGTTTACTTATAGCTAACAGAATTAGAAGAGCAGGTTTTGGTGGCGACTCATTTTGTAACATTCAACAATATGTCTATAACCCAGAGTGTATGGTGAACTATCTCTTTTTTGCTATGCTCCAAGTATTGGGTTATAATTTCGTATAAACACAATATATAAAAAAGAGGGTGATGTGATGAACCAATGGTCTGCATTTAGTACTTAAGAAATTAATAATGATTCGGTGCTTGATTTTAATTGATTGGTAAATTACTTACGCAATACATTTCTTACTACTGTATATGTTGGGTAATCCACACTATATTTATAGGTCTATGATGAGGTAAATGTAGTCATTAGCATCTATATAATCCTAGAAGATAGAATTACCTAATAATGCAAATTATTATTTATAACACCTACTTAAATAGGCACACAATTTTGAAAATATATATAAAAATGAATTGACAATAAATGGATGTGATGAAATGCTGTAAATATACTAGGACCGAAATAGAGCATTAGCTGTAGGACTTTGTAAACATTTAAAATTTCAAATTGACGTCCGACGTTAAAATTGCATTTCCTTTGGTGCTATAATCAATTATCCCGAATATTACAAAGTTAATGCAACGTCTATGTATTTAAATGGGTCGATTACATAATACCTATGCACAACTGTATTGACTAATGTATAAACGCAATGTAACAAAGAATATAAGAAGCATGCACCTATTCCTACACAATCACATTTTACGTATTCAAAAAAAAAAATAAAAAAAAAAATCCAATGGCCACGTTACTCAAGAAAAATAGCAAACTAATGAATACAGTTATACTTATTTGTCAGTATATTCCAGTAAACAGATCGATAATTGTACTATGTGCATCTGGACATAGAATAAGAAAGCATGAGCTAACATCAAGATACTTAAATATAAATTTTAATTTTAATTGGAATTATTTAAAAAAATACCCCCACTAAGGGGAGGATGAATTTAAAAGTACATAGAAATGTATATAAAGTGCACGATTAAAATTGAACTAAATACAGTACACGCATCCAGAATTAAGAAGCATGATAAATTAATAGTTTTTTGTTAAATTAATAACTGTATTAATAATATTATTATAAAAGCAATTCTTTACACTGTCACAAATTCAATGATTTACACAATTCAGGCTATTTCTATCAGCCGCCAAACGTTTTCTGTATGAATTATTTAATATAAAAGATAGAAAGGAAACGTTATTCTTAATCATGTCAATGAGAATCCTTCATTTCATTTTTGCTTCGAAGTTAAGATAATGATAATAAAACAATCTAGATTTTGAAACGTTAACAGTTGTGACTGATCGTCAGATAAAATAATATCTTTAATTTTTGCTCGATTTAAAGCATGAAGCAGGGGTGTCGATCAAAAATACTTCAAGATGCCTTGCTGCCTTTAATAATTTACTTTGTATTTTTTCTAAAGATGCAAGCGTCATGTGAAAATATACATTGAGTACCATATACTAGAATTGGAACTAAAACACTGTTCCAGACATGCTCCACCCCTGTTTACACATACCTGCACTTTGTAGTGAAAAGGGAATTTTTGATAGTTACGGATGCGGATCGTCAATGTGAAATTTACTGTTTAAATTACTATTAAGTGTTACCCCACGAAAAGTTGACTTGGTGATATTTAAAATACAATTATTTAATTAACAAACAACGGGTTAAAGTCACAAAAAAATGTAGCCTAAGTTTAATAATTTAAACCAAAGTAGAAATTCCAGATTTTGCTGTTTATTAACGAAAGATGTTTATTGTCTATGCATTTTATATGGTCAAGTTCACCACCGCTAGTCTTAAATTGGTCAATGGACGGTTACAATGGACAAAACTCCAACGGCAACATTTACTGAAATCAGTATTGTTTTAATTCCTCATTCATGAAAGTAAGTTTTGTTGCAGGATTTGATGTTATATTTATATTGGAAAATAAAATCATGTAAAATAAAGCTAAGTTGAGCTAAAATGATGTACACGGTACGTTGTTTTATAGTAGTATTTAATTTAATTTTAACAACATTTTGTAAATGCATTGTATATTCAATTTATATAAAATTGTATTATGGTCTAACGAATAACCGACGGATAGCTTGAAATTACTTTTGACACTACAGTATATAAAATATATATATTTGCATTTGTTTAGTATGTGGCCAAAGAGTATATGGAACCTTATTATTTTGTTGTGCAATATTGTTAGTGTAGTAATTATGTATTGTAGATGTTAATAAAAGAGGGCTAGCTATGCTCGAGTATTATCATGTTCTAAAAATACAAAGACTGAAGTAAATGTAATAAAATGTAATCAATTCAATTAAAAGACTTTCATTTTGTTTCATTTATTTGTCAACTTTAATGATTTTCTAAACTACCACACGAGTTCCACCTTAAGATGCTAATCAGTAAACCAGAAATTAAACGGAGAATGGGACTGAAATTTTTAATATTGAATATATGACCGAAATTTTATGCTGGTAAAATAAATAAATATGCTGTTTAAAACCAAACTTACCAGCAATATCGAAAGGGCTTTCTTAGTGGGAAGGCCCGGCTTAGTGGGAAGGCCCGGCTTAGTGGGAAGGCCCGGCCATAGACAATATTTCGTAAGGCTGTCAGTACCTAATGTATAATCAGTCAATGTTTGTGAAGCACAAATATGTAATGATACAGGATTATGTTTACAGCACAATATTGAATATTGCCACGTCTTTATAATTTTTGAAATACTTTAAGTCATTATTTTAATTGTAAACAAAAGACAAATTACCTTCTAAATAAGACTCTGTTTACAACAGTTAAGATAAAGACAGGTAAGACACCAGTGAGAGCAAGGGACCGCCACCTTGGGGAGTGCTTGATTTACATTTTGATAAGGTACACAAGTTCACTTTATATATTTATTTTATTATTTAGTGAAAATATGCCTTTGTATCAGCGGCACTCACTGAAGTGGTGCGTTTCACTTCCTACTGCATACTGCACCACTACTGAACGCAAATGTTTGTTTGTAATTTATGGAACTCCAATACATCACAATACAATAATAAATAATAATAATAAAATCTTAACAAACAAGTTTTAGTGTAATTGCATTATCTCTTATTAATTAAACTTGCTTTCTCTTCGTCATTACTTATTTTCAGATTTGACCTTTCCTGTTTTTGACCATTATGCATAACCGCTCCTGTACATGACCACTCCTGTTCTTCAACTTGCGCAAAGAATAGATAAATAATCATCCCAAAAATCTGGATGCCAGCAGTTATTTTAAACATTATGGACCATTGTCTCAACACATTCTGAAAGTTAAAATAGAATTAAATAATTTAATTGATATATCTAAAAGTATGCTTAGGATTCAATAATAGCGTATGAAATTTAAAAAAATATTGTAAGACTTCTGGTAACATGGCAAAATAAACACACCCACCTTTTGAAAGAATTCTGCATTAATATTATCATGAAACATTCTTGTAGTAACAGTTGGTGGCTAACATTGGTCCACTGGACCGTCCATATGATAGGCCATTTTTGGCGTGAAACTGACGATAATTACATGATGTCAGATAAGATTTAGAATAAAAGAGCAGCTCTAACCTATTGGTATCATTAACAATAGGCCTAATAAATAAGGTAAAAACATTTTCAGGATAATCAATACATAAATAATCTTACATTATCTTGCGTTAATAATCCAACAATGAAAGGTCCAATAAAACCAGCAGAACTGGATATCGTCATTACGACACCTGTTATTATCCCAGAGTACATTGGAGAAAGGTCTATCGGGTTGGAAAGCACGGAATTCCCTACTCCATAAATTCCAAAAGTAGTTATAATAAGAAACTGCATGAAGTATTCATTACTGCTAGCATATCCAAGAGCAAGAAGACAGACAGCTGGTATTCCAAGTGC